GCAGACTCAAGAGAAACAAACCAACAGTGGGAAAGCTGAGAAGCAACCAATTTATGCCACAGGCCCTTCAAAAACTCAGGATATGGTAGCATCAGGAACCTCTGGAAGAGAGGGTGAACACAGGGCTGTAAGCAGTGGGGTAAACTTCTGTGTAAGAAGCAGTAAGATTTCTCTAAATCATCTCCTTCCCTCCACTAGGCTGGGACTCTGCTTTTCAACATACAGGAGGAAGACAGGAAGTTTTCTGTCTAAAGAGGGTGAAACCAAGGGTTCCAGGAATGACCCACAGCAGGCACAGTTGAGGGCAAGAGAACCACAATCAAAAAGGGGGATTAAGTGAACCTCTACATGTTTTGGGGTCACCTGAGCTTCATCTGCTCAGGTGACAACAGCTAAAGCAAGATGGCCTTGCCTCGTCTGGCCACAGTGAACAATTCTGTCTGCTCCAGAATCTGACATGTACTTGACTATTCACATGCAGGACAAGTGCCAGTACTCTGCCCTGCCCAGGAAGTCTGAATATTTGCTTTCCGATGTACATTTGCCAAATATAATTTGTTGCCATGTCAGTTTATCTTAATCAGTGACCCTTAAAAAGGTCTTATAACAGCCAGACCTACACTTTCCAGGTAGGAAACAGGAAAACCTGTTTTATGGAGAAATCTGATGAGCTAAGGAGGAAAGATCCAAGGATGTGATATCAGTTTTATCAATAAAATAGTCCAGTAAGATCACCCGGAGGATGTTCAAGATCAATCTGTCCCACCCACAAGCTCAGAACTCTCCCTTTCTCAAATCATGCTATAGTAATATTCTCAGATAGAAAAGATACTGCACCCACCAGTCAAGAACAAAATTTTTTTTAAAAAAGAAAAGAAAAAAAAATTATAGGAAGAAAAGTTCTTGGAATTTAAGAATTTGAAGGCAGTGTTAAAAACTCAATAGGTAACTGAAAGATAAAGATGGGGAAATCTCCCAGAAAATAAAGAAAGCAAAAAAGATGAAAAGCCAGAATAGAAAGAAAAATGATAGAGCCACTCAAGAGGTTCAACTTTCAAATAAAATGATTTCTAGAAAGAGAGGACACAGAAAATGGGAATGAGAAAAATAAATAACTAAAAAATCTCAGCACTGAAGGATATGAGTTTCTAGACTGAAAGGGCCCATTAGAGCCCAGCGTAATGTACAGAAACATAACTAAATTAAGGGATATCACTGTAAAATTTCTTCCAGAAGTAAAAAACAAAAATACAAACAAACAAAAAAAATCCTGGTCACATACAAAGAGGATCATAAATTTGAACTTCCCAACAGCAATCCTCAGAGCTAGAAGACAGTGAAGAAGGCTTTTAAAATTTTGAAGGAAAGGGTTTTATAATCTAACTTCTATATCCTGCCAAACTATCTACCAAGTGTTTTATAAACTGCAGATATTTCCAGACATGCAAGATGTGAACAAAATTTTGAAGGAAAGGGTTTTATAATCTAACTTCTATATCTTGCCAAACTATCTACCAAGTGTTTTATAAACTGCAGATATTTCCAGACATGCAAGATGTGAAAAACATTTACCTCCTATGTACCCTTTTAAACAAAGAAGGAGGAAGGCATGGGATGCATGACACAGCACAATGAACTCAAAAGAGAAGTAAAGGGAACCCCAAAAGTAGTGGGGACAGAGATTGTAGGAAGACAGCAGCACCCAGACAGGGAGGGTAACCAGTTGAGACAGGAGCAGGTCAGAAGGCTCCAGGAAAGCTTTACTAAAGAAAATGAATCAGTAGAACACCTGATAGGTCTGAATGTATTAAGAGCAGACAGAGACAACTAGCAGACAGTCAGCACTTAAATTAATGATAAATATATGGAAAACAAAGCTAATGAGTAGGGGCAGGGAAAGACTATTACTAATTTTACAGAAAATGCAGGAGAAATAATAACACCATACTACATGGCTAAATTGTGATTAGCATTCAGGTAGTCATAACAATGTAAACAGTTAATACTGATCTACCCAAAATTTCAATATAATTCTATTAGGAGGATGGTGGGGGGGAGGGGAGCAAGAAGAGAATGAAACGTACAATTGAGGAATGGGGGTGAAAGGGAGCTAAATCCTCATTTTTCATAGTAGGAGGTCGACAGAAAAGGTCTAAAACTGAAAAGTCAAGTAGCAATATACTCACGTTTCTTAGAGACATGGATTAGTGTCCAAAAGAATCAGCCAAAAGTAAAAAATGGTGCTCTAGGGAGTGAGAAAAGAGGGTGGGGGCAGTAGGGGTCTGATTTTTTCATAACAAGTCTTGTAGGACTACTTCAGCCTTTAAACTATGTCAATGTACTGCTTTGACAAGCCTAAAAAGTCTTACCAAAAAATAAAAATAAAAGCTTTTGTCCCTCTCCTCAAGAAAACAACAGATAAGATTTTGCATATGACTTTTGAGACCTTCATGTTAGGGACCGCTGAACTAGCTGGGCTCCCCAGGAACATGAAGATTCTATGGATCCATTCCAGCACCATTAACACTCTCAACCACCCCTCCTCTCTGTACCATCTTAGGAGAGAATGTAAGTTTTAATACAGCCTTAAGCAAGTATCTCTTATTGTGCCCAAAGCTGTCACATGATAAAATGGGAACCCGGCCTTTCTAGACTAACACACATTCCAGGTATGTCAGTAGATATCCACAGTTCAGATACGTGACTGGGTTTTGTGCTCTGAGCCATGGATGGAACGGAAAGCACAGTCAAAGGGAAAGTCATCCAAATTAAGGATTGTTTTTGACACAGAGGCAGATGCTGTCTGAAGCTCCAGATGTACCTCCTCTAAGGCCTGAGTTCCACAGCTTAGATTACTGAGGAAACTGAACGCACTGGGTCAGTATTTGTGTGCCCACCTCTCCTGCTGGCCACTGTGTTATGATCTTCCCTGTTAATCTAAACTTGCTGCTAGCTGACCCAGGTAAGCAACTGAGGAGGTTCTGGACAAGAAACTATCATTTAGTCCCGAAGTGAGCTTTCTTTATGCTCGTATAAAAATGGTATTTCGTGTGAGCAGTCTGTAAAATGAACCAGAGGCTTCAGCTTTTAATAAAAAGTAATTTTGAAACTGTATCATAAGTGATGCTAACAGATTTTGAGCCCAAATGACAGTGTCTATAAATCTTTTACTTTCTGAATCAGCATAATTAATTTTGCTGGAAAGCAACACGAAAGTGTTGTTGGTTTTGTCTGCTTTTGTTAATCTACTTACAAACCTATTTCTATGCTAACAATACTTTTTTTTTTTTCCTTTTTGTCTTTTTTCGTGACTGGCAACGGATCACAACCCTCAGTGTCGCGCCCATACCAGACCGGGACCGGCAACGGGATTGCAACCCTCGGTGTTGCGCCCGCCCCTCACTCAGCCAGTGAGCGGGAACCAGTCTGTATGTGGGATCCGAACCCTCGGCGGGAGCGCCGCTGTGCTCCCAAGCGGCGCACTGTAGCAGTGCGCCACCGGGCCGGCCTTATGCTAACAATACTTTAAAACCCCTCCTGAAGTCTCTGGTTTGGGGGAGAGGACAATAAACCTCCAAATTCAATGAGCTGTAATACAAGGGTACTTCAAAAAGTTCGTGGAAAAATTCACGTTATCTTTTAATTTTATTTTTCTACAAACTTTTTGAAGTACCCTCATATGTGCCATACAGCCAAGCTTTGCTTTTTTATCAGGTTTGTGTGCTTGTGGACAAAGAGTCTGAGCTTATCAGGGGATTTCGCTGGGGTGTATTCCAAATGTAAGTGCATTTGTTTGCCCCATTTTCTGCCTGGATCTGGCTTCCTGGCCCAACATTAGCTTTGAGGGTCTGAGGGTGCAACTCTATGACCAAGGCCAGTCTGTGGCTGAGCAGGCACTATGCTCAGCATCTGTGGGCTACACAACCTTCTTGGAGTACTTTCAAGTTCATTCCCAGTAGACAACATAGGCTGCTAACAGCCCTAGAACCCCCCTCAGTCCCACAGGAGGTTGAAAAAAGCTGGAAAAAACTGTTAGTTTGAGATCTGAACATGTCAGTACTCCTGTGACAGAATTATTTACTCTAAAATGCCATTCTGCCCCATACTGGACAGGGGCAAAAACAACTAACTAACTAAACAAAATACCGTTCTGCTAAAAGCTGTCCTTTCTGGTCCTTTTATAAACTGTTCATGAGGAAGAATACTCCTAAACTGGTTCACAGATATTTATATAATATTCAGAGTCATTACACTTAAAAATCTTATTTTCTCTCTCTCACATGAACCATACTTCACTCAAAGTATGCTGATTATGGACAATCATTTGAAGACTCAAAGCCCCACTTATTATACTTTCCTAAAGTTTTGTCCAGAGGTCAGCTTTGGATTTGGGGAATTTCCCATGCTCAGCAAAAAAAGACAGAATATTTTCAATTTATGAAAATATGTTTTGAAAATCTAAATAACTTTATAGAAAGATAAGAGTTTTATGTTTATCAAAGAAAACACGGCATGGGTTAAAGAAAAGGTGAGAAAATTCTGATTTAATTCATTGATTAAGGACTCTAGTAGACAGTGCTCAAAACCTGGGCAGATGTGGTAATAAGATCTCGGCTTCCTTTTTCACTTCCTGTCCATTTATATGTCTATCCTGAAGTCTTTAGCTTTGGAAAATGATTTATATTTCTAGTTTGTCTACATTAAGTTTCTTTAAACTTTAATGACAAGATAGCTTTATTAGAAGCTAAACTTCACCACCAAGACAACTTCAATTAACATAAATAGTTCAAACATTCCTTTTCTACTACCTTTTAAAGCAAATTATATTTTCGAAAAGCCTAATTCATGCCCAACATGTAAATGTGAAAATAGCGGTAATAAACTTTCTCTCTCTTTCATTCATTATATCATCCATTCATTCATCCAACAAAACGCTGAGTGTCTACAGTGTGGCAGGCATACAGGATGTGTCCTAACTAATATTCAACAGTCACACTAACCTGTGTGAGAATAGATATACCACAAGGCCCCCGTCAGGAGTGCTCCGATCACAAATGCTGCAAATGCAATGCCCATCACAGTTAGGGTGTCCAGACCGTGGAAGATTGCTATAAAGGAGGAAAACCAACACATGCAACTTTAAGTTAGTCTGCATTATACATTGCAATTTTATACTTTTTTCACAAGCACTGTCATAAAGGCTGAGCACTGACTAACACAATCTGAGAATGCAATGAGGATTCCAAGAAAAAAACTATTTTGTAACTTGCAATATTTTTCTCAAAGGAAAAACGAAATTATCGGGTTTCTAAGATAGTCTCAATTTGCAATTTATTTTGAGCTATCAACTAACTAAAAAATCAGATTTGTAAACTCTGTGAAACCTTAAGTCTGTGGTCTCATTGTCTCCATCTGAGGGTGAGAAGGAGATGGGTGATTGGAAGCTGGATGGAAGGTGGCTATTTGAATGGAAGGTGGCTTGCAAATTCACAGGTTAAGATGCTTTGAAAAATAAGGTGAACTTCCATTATCAAAATCTGACTCATTGCTTCTTATCCATTGAACACCTCCAACAAGGAGACAATGCACAGAAAACACACTTAGAATACTTTACAAATATATTTTTATGAATATTTAAAACTATGAAAGACAACAGGAAGAGAGTGAGAAAAAGAAAACCCAGAATAAGAGCAAACTATTCCTGTGGAATATAACATTTCACTGTTCTCCTCACATTAAACCCTCAATCTTAACAACTATGTACTGTGTCAAATAAAACAACCTACTTTTTAACACTTTTCCAACCGTGATCTTTCTATGAGGGGAACGGAAATACTTCTCAGTGGGGAGTGATGTCAGTTTTATGGTCAGCAAAACATATAAATAGAACCAATTGTTCTTCCATTTGGCAAAGATTTTTATATTTGAAATTAATTCCAGGCCACAGAAATAGAACATTTCCTTTCATTTAAGAGAACTACCTTCTTTGAGTCATTTATAAAAAGTTAAAATCAGTTTCCAAGAGAGAGGGGTTCTTGGTAGAATCAAATTTCTAAAGTCTCCGTTTTTTTTAAAATAGAAATTGAAGGTACAGGATCTCCCCACTATCCCAATACTATTTCTACTTTCTGCTCCAGTCAGAAGCAATGTCAGCTGATCTCTATATAAATTAAATCTCTTTGTCTTTCAACTCACTTCCGTGTAAAAGATCCAGCTGCAGATAAATGTGACCCTCAAGCAGCCCCAGGATTCCAAAGGGCTCAGGAAAAGTATGTCACAGTGGAAAGAGTCTTGAAGGATCTAAACTCCCAGCTTCTGGCGCCCACTCTTTCAGCACTGTGCCCTCTGGTATGTCCATTTAACTTCTGAAAAATGAGGCTAACACGACTTCACCTGCTGAAGGCAGGAGGTAAACAAAACAAGTTTGCAGAAGGGATGAGAATCCCCTAAAAAGAACAGAAACTGGGAAGAGCTCTCTGGAGGCATGGGACATCAACCTATTCAGTTTAATCTAATCTGTAGGACAGATATTAAAAGATGACTTTCTTTTTTTATACCCACAGATGCAAATATGGGGCATAATTTACATTTTTGATGAAAATATTCTAAAATTCCAAAGATGGAGATGTTATTTATGAAAATGAGACTAGATAAGTATGAGAGATTGTGTCCATATGTGTCTCTCTTTCTGAGTTCCTGATCTTGTTGCATAATCTTATTAAACTAATCAACTTTAAAAAGTTTATGAAGTGCTTTGTATAAAGAAACTCTCCAGAAGGATTGTTATGTGTATGTGATGATGTCAGCCATGGACACTAATCCTGGGAGTCCTAGAGAAGGAAAAAAAGCACAGATTCTCCTCACAAGGCAGCAGCATCTGGAAGAGCTCTGGGTGGACAGCCACGAAGCCCAGATTCAAGTCCCACATCAGTGCCAAGAACCATGGGCAAGTCACTGGAATATTTCTGGGTTGGCGGGTTGGCGTTTTCTTTCGTACAAAATGATGAAATTGGCCTAGACAATTTCCATCTCATCCTTCTGCAGTAATTGGTGTCACTTTTTTTCTTTCTTTCTTATGTGCCCCTGCTGGTCCCTCCACCCCTTGGACTAGAGAGTATCTTGAAGGTGGCAGCAAGTTCTTCTCCAAGCAGGTAAATACTGCGGATTACAATTAAAGCAAACCACTCCCAAAGCTATATGTTAATGATCCTAACAGATAAAAGTATGAAAATAATTCATTTCTCTCTAAAACTAAGTCACTACCTTCCCATTCAGGCCATATATGCCAATGGGTCAACAAATTAATATATTAAAATGGCAAAGGTGGAGATGAAAAAGAAAGGGTGAAGGAAGGACAGAAGAAAGGAAAAAAGAATGAGAAAAAAGAGGAAAGGGGAAGTTAGAACGAGGGCAGAAGTCTCCTTATCAAAACTCAAAGTCTGGCAAATATTCACTAACCAACTCATTCTTATAAAAGCCCAGGAGGCTTTATGTTGAAATAGTCGCAGAAAGACTTACGTGGAGAAATTGGATTTGGTTCCTGAACGCTTGGACCTTTTTCTGAAACAAAAACATAAATCACAACGCATTCCATAGAGAAACCAAGATTTAAGCAAAGGGTCATCAAAATCTCAGCACAAGCTGACCACTTTTCTATCTGTTAATACTTGCTTTGTGAAAGCTCTGTCAATGATCCTCTTAGGTATCAAAATTATAACACGGATGACCCAGAAATTTTAAGTACTGTACTTGGTTACAATCAATTGTACAAACTCTCCAATTTGAGGGCAAACACCTAAACTTAGGGAATTAGACAATTCGTGTCTATGTATGTGTGTACCTTTATATTTACATACAATAGGACTCAATACCTTCAAATTCTATGCTTCTCTAGTGAATTCATATTATTACTCCACTTTAATGTGCATGTTTTGTTTTTTTTTTGGTTTTTTTTTTTGTCTTTTTTCCATGTCCGGCAACGGATCGCAACCCTCAGTGTTGCCCCCGTACAATCAATTGTACAAACTCTCCAATTTGAGGGCAAACACCTAAACTTAGGGAATTAGACAATTCGTGTCTATGTATGTGTGTACCTTTATATTTACATACAATAGGACTCAATACCTTCAAATTCTATGCTTCTCTAGTGAATTCATATTATTACTCCACTTTAATGTGCATGTTTTGTAGGAGTGTCTTTATTCTCTGTCCTTAACGCTATGGTCCTGTAGTTCGCTCCTCTTCACCGCTCACTGCATGTTTTGTAGAAGTGTCTTTATTCTCTGTCCTTAACGCTATGGTCCTGTAGTTCGCTCCTCTTCACCGCTCACCTGCATTATCACAGAGTCCCCCCGTCTCCACCACCACCCTCCCCCCCAAGTATTTCCTCTCTGCATTGCCCCCCAGAGTGAATTTTCCAAAGCCCAAAGCTGATCATGTTATTCCCCGGGCACACAAAGTTCTTGCTCCCTCCTCTGCCCACCTCTCCCCAGCCTCCTTTCCTGAGGGGGCCCTTCACCCATGTGGGGCTCCTCATACTCGGTTATTTAAGCTCCCCAAATTCTCCATGGTGCACCATGTCATCATGCTCTGCAAGCCATCCCCTGAAACACCCTCCTGCCCTAGATCGACTTTGCTGGCATTTTCGCTGGGAGGCTTCCCTGACTCTCCCGGCTCCACCGCTACCCCAGCAGGGCTGGTCTCTCCACCTTTGCTCATTCCCTCCCTCTTCTGTTGCACTCGTGCCACATCGCACTGTAATTTTCTATTTTTTCCTGCCCTGAGGGCAAGTTCTAGTTCTTACTCATCTGTCTATCCCTGGGGCTCAGACTGGCACAGACTAGGCCTTCAACTGTTTGGTGAAGGATGATGAAAATGTTGATATACACTTTGTTTTTTTTGGTTTGTTTGTTTGGGGGGGTTTCTGGCTTTTTAAAAATTTTTTAATTTATCAATATACAAGGTAGTTGATGTTTGAGTCCCTTTACCAATTTCTCTTCCCCCTCCCCCTTCCCCCATCAACATCAAAATTGTTGATACGCATTTTGAAAATGGAGGCAACAGAGCAAACTAAGAATAAGACTATTAAAATGTTTGAATGCTTCAACATTTCTATAATGCTTTCGTGTTCATAAAATGCTACACAGCCAAGATCTCATTTAAGGTTCACACCAGTGCTGTGAGGGAGGCAGAAGAAAGGATATTTGTCTCTATTTTACAATTGAGAAGCCTGAGACTTATATCATGAGACTAGCTCAAGGTCACAAGTGGAAAGCATCAGGGCAGGGATCAAACCAGAATTCCAGACTCCTGCATGGCAGGCAAAGTGATGAGTGTTGCTCTATGCTTAGCTGGGGGTTGAGGAACTACTCATTATCCTCAACAGTGACAATGGCATAGACCGGGACACTACAGCCCATCACTTATTTTTGTATGGCCCATGAGCTAAGAATGGATTTTATATTTTGAAATGATTTTTTAAAAATCAAAAGAATTACATTTCATGACATGTGAAAATTATATGAAATTCAAGTTTACTCCATAAATGAAATTTCAAGTGAACACAGCCATTTGCATACTGTTTATGACTACTTTCACGCTACAACAGCCCCACTTAGTAGTTGGGACAGGAACTGTATGGGCCACAAACCAAAAATACTCACTCTCTGGCCCTTTATAGAAAAAGCATGCTGAATCCTGGCACAGACTGTCCGTGCCCTTTAGAGTTTAAAAGTGATACATGTGTAGCACCTCTCTTTTCATCTCCATTTTCATTTAATAAAGAAGGGACGGGCCGGCCCGGTGGCGCACTGGAGAGTAGGCCGCTTGGGAGCACGGCGGCGCTCCTGCCGAGGGTTCGGATCCCATGTGGAGACCGGTTCCCGCTCACTGGCTGAGCGTGGTGCGGGCACGACACCGAGGGTTGCGATCCCATTGCCGGTCCCCGGTACGGGCGCGACACTGAGGGTTGCAATCCCATTACCGGTCAGTAAAACAAACAAAAAAAAAAGACAATAAAGAAGGGACACACACCTTGTATTTGAATCCACAGTGAAGCAAAAAGAACTTGTGAAAATTTGACCAAACAAGCAGCATTTGAGTTGATGCTTATAAAAATAAAGAAGCTAGACAGGGTGAAAGGAGACAGGACTGTAAATTCTCAGGACTAACCATCTCAGCTGGGTTGATCAACATTCTTGCAGCTGAGTTATCAATGGTCCAGCTCTAAGGGAAGGAATGCTACTGGATGAATCAGAGCCACTCAACTGAATGGTGCCCCTGGAGTTGTGCAACATGGTGGCCCCAGGATGAGGATATATGCAAAAGCTATACTTAAATAAAATTACTAAGAAAATAAAAATGATTGTGTGTTTCTAAGAAAATCTAATTCAGAATGCAGAACAAACACTAACTACACTAACTACAGAATCCACTTTCTCTCCTGGGAGTTTGGTCCCATCAGACTTACTGGCAGCAATAACAATGGTGACACCTTATATTTGTACATCTGTATAGTGTTTAACAATTGACAAAAAGCCTTCACTTATATTGTTTCACTTTCATCTCAAAAACCCTATGAAGTAGAGGTATCTACTTTCACAAAACTCTCCTACTTTCAAGAAGTTGTAGTTTGATTCACTAAACTAAGTCCAAAGGCATTTAAAGGTCTCTATAGTGTGGATCCTGTGAGAAATAAGAAATACACACACTTCTGGGAAGAGTTCCATCCAATCAACCACCCGTGGTTAAACTTTGTCACTCAGAATCCTCAAGTGGTTTAAAAATGATTCCTCCTAAAAAGACCTCACATTTAAGAATTTAGGTTTTAAAGCAAGGCCTGTGTGATGGATGGCATTGTTTAAAAATTCTTAATGGACTTGTGTTATGATCTAATCCTCCACCCCCACCCCAAATAGGGGCCTTTGCACACAGCTAAACAGAAACAGTCATTGCTCATTCTCCCGGGTAAAGTTCCTTCACAATTTCAGTGCCAAACAACAAGCACAGGCTGAGGACTGAGGTGAAGGGATTGTATCCTCTAACTCCTGTGCTCCAAAATCTCCAGTAACCCCTGAGTATGACTAAAATAGTTTGATGTCCACTGGAACCCTATAATCACGCTGGTGAGGACTGAGGTGAAGGGATTGTATCCTCTAACTCCTGTGCTCCAAAATCGGCAGTAACCCCTGAGTATGACTAAAATAGTTTGATGTCCACTGGAACCCTATAATCACGCTGGCATGCCGAGAGGAAAAGCGTGGACGTAACAATATTTACTTTTGGCTTCAGGATAAGATTGTAAGAATGGAATCCTAGCTATTGCTGTAAAGAGAATTTTAACAATAAAGATTTCTTTACAGAAAGAACAAACTATAATCAACATTCTGAATTAAATCTTTTCAAATGCTCTGAGCAAATTTTGGTCTACCTCTAGAACCAAAATTTCCCTCTTCGGATTGTTAGGCATGGTTTTCATAAACAGGATATTTCTGGGGTTATGCATGAGTAACTAACCACAGCTTTTGGCCTCCGTTTTCAGTTCTGTTCTCCTAAACACCATAAGACTGAGCAGGCATCAAACTGGTACCCACATCTATTGGTATTTGGCTAAGAGGGAAGGATGGGGAAAGGAAGTCTTTTGGAAACTCAGGAGGCATTTAGCAGTCCTATTTAAGATACAGTTTTTACTAACTTTACTTCACTGTAATTTGATCCCTTCTCTGGGTTCTTTCAGTATGTGACATTCGTTGCAACTGCCTGTTCACTTACTAGCATCCTGTCACTATACTAGTTCTCACCTGGGGGGGGACTTTTGCCCCAGGGAACATTTGGAAATGCCTAGAAACATTTTGGGTGTCACAACTGGGGGGGAGGGGCCATGTTGATAGTGGTGTCTAGTGGTTAGAGACCAGGGATGCTGCTAAACTTTCTACAATGCACAAGACAGCCCCCAACAACTAAGTTATCCAGCCCGAAATGTTGATAGTGCTGAGATTGTGAAACCGTGCACTAGTCTATAAAGGCCTTAAAGTCAGGATAATTCACTCACCATATGCCTAGCATATAGCAGGTACTCAATAAACATTTTTTGGAATAAATAACCATAAATATCACTTGTATCTTATTATTGGGTAGTTTCCCGAGCAAGCCAATCTTCACACAGCTTTCACAATAGACCTCTTAAATGATCTAATCATCTGTTCCCTACTCAAGATCTTTTGACGGCTCCTAACTTTTAGAGGTTATGGACGAAATTAAATGTGTGGGGTTCCTTCAAAACAATCCAGTGAGCAATGGGAAGTGATAAAACAAGATTTGCCACGAATTGATAATTGTTGAAACCAGATGATGGGTTCATGGGGGTTTATTCTACTATTTTATTTTTGTATACATTTGGAAATTTCCAAAATAAAAATTTTTTAAATGTGAAGCACATGGCAAAATAGGGATTTCAAAAATCCCTATGATACCTCCCTCCCTTATTGGACAGAGACTGACTGAAGGCCTCAGTCTGTCAATTAGGCATTCTACCATCTTTCGGCTCAGTTTCCCCTCATCTCCACCTCAGCTTAAGGACAAAACCTGGCAGGTCCTTTACAGCATTTTTGTTCTGGAAAAATCAAATGTGTTCCAAAAGGTAACGCCTCTCTTGGATTAACTTACAACTAACGTTCTCAACTTTCCCTTCTACTCCCCACTCCGCATCCCCCCCAAAAAAACCCATAGTTTGGCTGAGAGGTTGAGAGGAAAAAGAGGAAATCAACATTTATTGACTGTTCATGATATGCAGGCGCTTTTATTTTCACAAGTTATGTGGTGGAAATATAGAGAAGATTCAGTATTTCAAACATTTAACTTGCTAAGAACTAAATATTGTATATAAATTATGGCAAATTTGGGAATGATATTTACTGTTTTACGTGTACACGTTTTTGTATATGTGCAATAAGTTTCAGAGAAATGATTACTCCTCCCTTTCACCACTTTTTAAAAATCACCATTGATGTGGTGTAACCCTTTTCATTGTGTACACCCAAGTGTTCTCAAATGCTGTAAAAAGTGTTCACAGCATCCAAAGCAAACAGCACTAACATGCCTATACTTCAAAATATTTAAGAAAATATGATAGGATGGCACCACCTCAACTATTTTAATTGTTTTGCATAAACCATGATGTGCATAAACTATTCATGTTTTCTGGGCTTTTTTGTGAGTTACAGTTCAAAGTCACAGAACTTCTCCTGCACTTAAAATACTCTCTTAAACAGTTTACACTTAAACAGTTTACAACATCTTTACCCTTTGGGGGAACAGACTTTTTTTCTAAAATTCTCCATCTTCCTTTCAGTTCATAATCCTTACAGTATTTGGGTGTTACCGTGAATATCAATGTGCTATGGTATGATGAAGAGGGGGCAGGAAGAGGGGTGGGAAGAGGCAAATGCCTATGTCGCTTGTAATTTTTATTAAAAACTAGACTCAACCTCCATCTGGATAAGGAATGGGGTTTAAGTGCACAGGCCATGGAATCAAAGTGCCATTTCAATCCCAGATCCAACATTTCTATGCTGTGTGACTTTGGCCAAGTTTTAAATATTACAATCCACATAAAACATTTAGCACAGAGTCTTGAACAAAGTAAATGCTGAACACACATTAGATTATCATCATCAGTTCCAACACCTTCAACACCACCAGCACCATCAACTATTGCTGAAAGTTTTAGTAAAAAAAAAATTCTAGCCCAATGCTTGTTCCCAAGGGACTTAGAGATGAAAGGTGGCAAAAGTGTGCTCAGAAAGGTTACTTTAAAAACAGTGGCCCAGAGAAGGGACCCAGAATTATTTATTTAGTCTTGATGGCCTGCTCTCCCTGTCCACAGAAGGAAGAATCACCACCTGAAGTTATGGCCATGCTCTTGGTGGCGGTGGCCACAGAGCAGCTCTCTGCCTGGCTGTGAAATTGCCAACCAGAGCCTTTATCTGTTTGCCCTAGAAAACCCAAGTGTTGAAAAATAAGATGAACCAAATGGCCAGGGAGAGCTGGAGTTTTGGCATGGCCTTCAAAGAGCACCTATGTAATAAAAGGACAAAAAGTCGATCCCAGTAAGTGATCTGCCTCACTCCCACAGACTCTACAGTAAACACACAAAGCTGTCTGGCAGGAAGAACATTCATGACCCCGTTATTATTCAAATAAACCCATGCTATTAGGCAAATGGTCACGTTCCCTTTTCAAATGACTATTCCAATCCACTGTGAGGCAGAGAGTAAGCGCAGACTCAATGATCTGCATTGAGACAAAATGATTTTAGAATCAAAGGAAAATAAACACAAAAGGTGAGAGGAGTCACTCACAGGGCTAAAAACTGCAAAAAAAAAAAAAAAACTTACCTAATTCAGTGTAAAGTTAGAATACTAATTTGCATACAGTCCCTGGGATGCTGGCCTACAGTTCAACCTCCTTAATTTGTTTAACAAACCTAAGCAATAAACTTTCTTCACCCACATGCTTTTCCACTAAAATCTAGTCTCAATTAGCAAATCTCATGAATATTTGGTAAAACTTTTCCTCTTGAACTTTTATGTAAAGAAAACATTAAACTTTTGGTATAATTATACTAAGTTTAAATAAAAGTAATTACCTAATTTACAAGAGAATTACTTAGAAAAATACTACCAGACTTAAAAGAAGAATGAATGAATTGCTGGAAGTCATACTGCTACACTATTAATGCCTAATTATTGTCTGGCATGGGAAAAAGCAAGCTGCTGCCTTCAATTACCAGCTGAATTACCTCTCTCAAAATAGGTAAGTGTAACAGATGGAGTAGGAGGTAGTGCTGCTATTGTTAAACCACTTTCAGATACAAAACAGAGCCAGCTGTTGCACAATTGTGATTACTTTGCAACATAAGTAATTTATTCTTATTTCTTTCCCCTGAACCCAACAAAAAGGAACAATTTGGGCAAGCCATTTATAGAAAGACTGTGTCTGTTATAACTTTCAAATGGTTGAAAACCAACCAATAAAAGTAAAACAACAAAAATGTTGCTGAGGAACCGATAAACGTATATTTCATAGCAACCTTAGGATGGCTGGGAAATGAAATAAAAACTACTTTGCTTCTTCAAACAGCATAGTTGAATGTTATGGCTGAAAAAGCCTCTGGAAGTCATCTGGTCCAAACCCCTCCTTTCCTGATAGAGAAAATGAAGCCTAAAGAAGTGAGGGAGTTCTCCAAGGTCCCACAGCCAGTTAGCGGAGAAAGCTGAGAGTAAAGCCCTAAGCCTAGCTTTCAGGCTCCAAGCCAGTGCCTTCCCCCAATACCCTCTGCCTTTCTGAAGTGAGCATGTGTCCAGGAGGGAGGCAGACACCACCACCAGATATGACGATCGTAATGGCACTGCTATTTTCACAAAGGTCACTCACCAAATAAGAAACCGAACTGCACCAACATGCCTCTGTTCTGGTGGGTTCTGGTGGGCCAGATATGACAATCGTAATGGCACTGCTATTTCCACAAAGTTCACTCACCAAATAAGAAACCGAACTGCACCAACATGCCTCTGTTCTGGTGGGTTCTGGTGGCTCCAGAGCTGCTCCTGCTGCCTAGTCTTCTTGCCAAATCCCAACCCAACAATGCTCAGATCTTAAGTGCCATCCCAGGGCCACCTGAAACCCCAGAGCTGGTGTCCCCACCACCTAGCAGGTCTCCCAGCTAATGCCCTGCAACTGGGGCCTGGCTGCTTCCTGGCTTCTGTCAAGGCCCTTGGTGCCCCGACTCCTCTCAGCCCCTCAGGGTTCTGAGAGGCAGTCTGCAGCTCTAGCCCTGAAATAGCTAACCCTGGAGGCTTGGAATCTACTTTAACTCTCCCAGTCTTCTCTCAGTTGACACCCTTAAACAGCAATGTTTCTGAACAGTGACAGGTTGTTTCTAGACAGCAACAACTATAATTGCCCAGATATACCATGGGACATTTGGTTCCACCCCCTCAGATGTTGGCGGCTGCCTGGTATGTCCTTGCTGGTATATTCCCCTTGGAGCTGTGATGCAGGTTCCTTTTGGATGTTTTCCATACAGTCCACAGGGCCTCATGTCCATTCCTAACATCCTCAGGGCCTAGCTCTGTTTCTTTACTGATTTGGCTGGCCTGGCCTATGCCAGGTCTGGCTCTGCCCTGCCTGTCCTCCCAGGTACTAATGTCATACCTCTTAGGGCACATCCTTCCTCTCCTCCTAGAAGACGCAGCTTGCTGAATGTTCCTGCAAGTGTAGGAAGAGGCACCCTTGGCTTCAAGCAACAAATGTGATTGTGTACAATTATGAAAATTGAGTTATAAAATAATTTAGGCAGAGGTTCTCAATCTTCCTTCTGCGGCAACACCTTAGATAGATGATGTTCACATATGTACACCTTTGCAGAGGCATCCATGATTTTGACAAAGCACTGCAATAGCTTCTAGCTAGCACGACCATTACCAGTAGATGACGGAAAGGTAAGCTGTGGACTGTGTGCAACTCCCAGTTTTATTCTTTAGCTGGTTCTCCTACTCCCATTGCAACTAACCCTTTCTTGCATACTCAAGGAAGCATATTTGAATGCTAGGGAGGGTAACATTATGACAGGAACAGAATTGGCCTTGATCTGATTTTTTTTTTTTAAATTGCAAATAATTTCTGCAAATGTATCATTCACAACTCAGCCATAACGGCAACAGGGGAACCAGCTAAAGAAAAGTCTCTTTGGGCAAAGAATCCTCTTCCAAAGTTACTAATTGACCCAAAATTTATCATTGAATAAAACAAGACCCTGATTTATGGTACCGGATCTTCTTAATGAGCAGCCCTTAGCTCCAATCTCTGATTGAGCCTCCCAAAACACACCTTTAGATTCTGCTTTGTGGTGGATCACAGCAAGGGGCTTGGTGAACGTCTTCTTATTCTGCATCATGGCCCAGATCATTGAGGCATCCAGCGAGGTGCAGGCTTCATCAGGTGGCACGCACTGCAGGGAGGCAGAGCAGGGCAGGGTCAGGGGCCGCTCAGAAGAGCCTTCGCTAGCTCAGCCTCACAGCTGTCCTGCAGCCCTCATCAGACAGCCCACAGCTGTCTACCACAGAAAAAAACAGATCTGGGTGTTTTCCAAGGAACCCCAAATAATATGGGAGGTATCGTGGCAGCCCCAGTGTATTTTCAGCTGCACTTGAAGATGCAAATATCACTGAAAAGTTTATAAATATTGCTCTTTTCCCCCTTCCCCATTCTTCCCACAAAACAACTAGAGGTTTCAGTTTTATATAGTTTGAAAAATAGAGAAACTATATGACTAATATTGGCCCTTCACCTAGGTGGCTTCAGACAAATGGTTCATGTTTGTAATTTGTGACTGTGGGAAACTTCATATATTCTGTTATAAAGGTGACAGATTTTACATTTGTTATCCAAATGGATAATTATGTTGGCAAATTTGTTTGTTTTAATCCTGGTATAGGCTCATAGAAAATTAGACTTTCCAGGGTCATCGGCTTTCAATGTTCCAAAATGCAGGTCCTGGGGAGTCATGCCCAGATGTGGAGGACTTGAGCTCAGCATTTCTGGCTATTATAAGGCCTCCAACATAAGGAATATGCCAGGCCCCACTATACCTGTTTTGGAAAAGTATAATCACATTCCAGTACCTTTTCTTTAAGATAACCTTGGTTCCTTGCCGATGTTCGTCAATAGGTAAAATTCTAATGTAAATGATACCCATTCACTTTTATATAAGAAATATATCAATTATTTAAAAAATCTATAGCAAGCCATCGTGAAAAGCTAATTAAGTTACAACTTTTCCAATCACAAAAAAGCAAAGTCATTGCTGCTATGAGCAACACACAAATCAGACACATAATATATGTAACCCCCCCCCCAAAAAAAAGGAAAGCCTTTATGATAGCTCTTTTGTATACGGAAACAAAGAATTTTCTGTGGAGAGACATGATTATTGAAAAGATTTGCATTTTACTTTCCTATTTTATTTTACTTTCCTATTAGTTCTTCATTTAAGTAAGAGTCTATGATTCTACGTCTAACTCAGTAGGTGACCCTGGGCAAGACACTTCACTCTCTGGGCCTCAGTTTCATCAGCAAAGGGCAGGCTTGGACTCAATGATCTTTGAGACCTTTTCCTAGAAGATTCTTTGGCTCTCTCTATTGTCAGAGAAAGCACCCAGAAGTCACTGGAAATGTGGAAATATGACCTATGAGCAGCAAACAGGAAGATAGAACTAGCAGCTCACCCTACTGCTAGTAAATTGCATCCGCTCAATAAATGGTGGACTGTCTTTATATCTATTGCCCCAGTCATTCCTCTACCCAGGAGGGAAGCCACTATTATTATTTTTTTTTTTTTCAGGAATGGGTGGCTGGCAGGTGTGGGGATCCAAACCCCTGACCTTGATGTTATAAAACTGCTCTAACCAACTAAGCTAACCAACCGGTCACAATTTTTCTTGGTGGCTGGCCAATTATTTCAATTTGATAGATGAGGACATGCAGGTTCTGATGGGTCAAGGGACTTGCTTGAAGTCCTGTTAGAAAGCATCAGGCCTTCTCAGTCCCGTGCTCTTTTCACTGTGTCCTGCCTTGGAGTAAGTGGCAACTTGAGGCTTAGGGTCATAACCCATCATGTCATCCCCTGGCACTTAGAACTCTCCTTAGAGTGTTTTGGAAGGAAAAACTAGAATTAGTTCTCTCAGATTAACACATGGTGAAGCTGGTCTGTTCCAAGCCAGGCTCAGAGAGGTAACAGCCAAAGCTACTAGCAAAGATCCCTGGTAACTGCCAGGCCTCCCCCACTAGATCCCTATTTCCTAAAAGGTATCCTTCTCCCTGCAGGAAGCAGCTGGTCCCATGGTCAAGCACTGGATTCCCTGTGGTTCTCTACCACTGCCCACTAAGTCACCTTGACAGCCACTGGAAGGTGAATGCTCATGTGGCTAAGACATCAATGTTTCCAAAAGCAAACTAATGAATACAGTCCAAATCACCTTACATGTGCTCCCTAATGATTATAGTAAGACTTGCTATATTTTCTTATGTAAACAAAGTTCTCTTTGGTGTTATCAGAGAAATGCACAACCTGTGTATTCAATGAGCAAATTCCATCTGTACATTAATAACGATGCAGCTTGATTTTTATGAAATTTTACATAATTATGGCAGATCACAGAAACAAAACTATGGCAGAAGATACTTTCATACACAACGTCAACCTAATGAGGTATCATAACTAACCTTGCAGATTTCCCCTACACAGCTATTCCAGCAAAGTCAAACGGTTCTGATATCTGTTATGGCAACAGAATGTACTGGTTCAATAGGGGGAGTGACAAGAGGGAAACATGATGAACTGATACAAAACAGAAAAATTAAAATATTTGTTAGTTTCCCTTAGAAGTCCTCCTGAGATGAGTCACCGATTATAAGAAGGTCAAAAAACAATTGCAATACAAGTCTCAGCGGGACCTGGAAAAATTAATCCTCATTCTGAACTCGTCCTTTGGGCTTGCTGTACTTTTGGCACTACACACTAGCTGAATAGCAAAGATAAAGCCAGACCTCTCCCTCAATGGAAAACAGTCTTGATTTATCACTCGTAAGGTACTACTAAGTAGCATGCATGGAAAAAAAAAATCATAATGTCAGGATTTATCCTCTAAGACTCCATAAAACATAGCTCCCTGCTTCTCTCCCTCAATGGAAAACAGTCTTGATTTATCACTCGTAAGGTACTACTAAGTAGCATGCATGGAAAAAAAAAAAAATCATAATGTCAGGATTTATCCTCTAAGACTCCATAAAACATAGCTCCCTGCTAACACTGACCTTATTACTTCAATAGGGCAAAAACCAAAACCTCAAACTGCAATAATTTGGGATTAAACTTTTCTGGTAGGTTACTGCCTCACCTACAATGTCAAAAGAACAGTCCAAATGGAGGGAGACCCACTAACCTTCGGCAGCTTCTGGGGATCCTTGTCCTTCTTGGTACACAATGTTAGCTCACACTGTAGAAAGAGTAGTGAGGTGTTGAAGATGGGCTTAAAGACAAAGCTGAATCGCTTCTTATCCATCTCAGCTTGTGTAACAGGAAAGTGCACTCTCCTGGGGCTGTAGAATTTCACAGATTCATCTTTAGGACAAATGTTCTCAATGATGGTGTAATCAGACATCCTATCAGGGTTTGAATATGGAGAAATAAAGCAAGTTTGAATGGCAAATCCCAGTTCTTGGTCAGCCTTAGTAACAGACACCTACAAAAGAACAGAAAGATCAATTCAGAAACGAGTTAGCATCTCACTTTTACTTTAGGCACAAGGACAATTTACCAACATAGTCCTTTGGATGAGACATTGCCTTATTTTCATAACATATAGACTTCTTTCTAATTACAAAAGTAACACACTCACTGAAGCAATATATTTTCCATTTAAACTTAATATGGATGATGATAGTGAATGATTTAGTTCAAAAGCCAGCCTGGAAAATTCAAACACAAAATGAATAAGTTTCTCCAACCTCCCATAAGTCCTCCGAGAGATAAAAAATAAATGCAAATCATGCACCTAAAGTGATTTTTCCTAAATAAAACACCAACAGGCAAAGCCTCTACTGTCATAATAGTGTATTACTTGTAAGCCAAGCTCTTTTTAAAAAGTGTTCAAAAATTAGAGTACAGAGGCAGAATCCATTTAACCCAGGCAGGGAAGACAGTTTCTAAACTGCAACAAGTCAGAATAAGCCTAAAACATTACAGTAAAGCTACAGATTGATCTTAAGTCCTGCTTCATCAGCGAGCAGGCAGAGCTGGCCTCTGGTGCTGAATGTCAGAGACAGTGCAATGTGGTGGTCATCATGGGCCTGGCAAAGTGTCCCAGCTGCTCGAAGGTCCCAACCAGCTTTGCCAAGCACTCTCCCTTCACTCTTTAAGCCCAGGGGTTGTTTAAGGGAAATCTAATCTGGAAACGTTTCCGACTCATTTACACTTCCCTCTTATAAAACACTTCCATGGGCTATGTCCAAATCTTGTTAAGGTTCTTTTCTTTAGAAACAGGAAGTAGTGCTTAGCCAAGAGTAAACAGAATTCAAACCTCAACTATCCTGAACTCAGCTAAAATCCTTGGACCAGACTGGATCCTCCATTTGGTGACACATGGATCACTGCAGGAACTGCCCCTCCCATCTATGCCTCATTCCTTGACTAAACTTAGGATCAAAATAAACTTCAAACACTTTAGAAATAAAGTTAGTCTTTACCCATAGGCTGATAGCCCCAGAATCCTTTCAAAAGACATGAAGATATAAACAAACTTTCCATTCTGAGATTCTCAGGGGAAATCCCTGACATTGCATGAGGCTTTGAATTTGCAGCACTATCGTGAAAGATCCCTACGTGGTTAACTACAGGACCCTCAGGAATGAAGATGAGATGTAGGAGGATGCTAATGAAGAGGATTATGATGATGTCACCTTGTGGTGACATTCTGTAAATATTAGCACTGCATTATTTTTGCAATATATCTGAAAAATAAGATATTCTATCTTATTGGAAAGATAGCAAAGTACATATATCCTATTACTAAAAAGGGCTCATTCTGGGAGGGGGTAAGAAGGGTGGCTGGGAGAAAAGGCCTAGAAATAGTTCTTAGACCAAGTCAATGATTTATTAAGTTTTACTTAATCTAAGTAAAAAATTTTCCTACTGTCAGTGAAGTTCAAATTGGGAAATAAAGATTAGGCATAACTGCTATCCTACTTAGCAAAACATTTACAGATTCTGTTTTGTATATTAGGTAGTTTTAAAAAACTTTAAAATAAAGCAGTTTATAACATTTCCCCCTCTCCAAATTCTCCTCAACGTACTTGATGTTTAAAATGGTAGCAAAAAGATTTAGTCTATTTTTTTTTTATCACTTGACAATGTCTTCTTTGTAGTTACCAAATTTAACTATGAAAAATATAGATGCTATATGAAAAGATATAAATGGAAAAAACGAGAAAAAAAAAAAACCTACCAACAATCTATTTCAAGTAAGCCAGCATTGCAGGGATGGGGGAAAATAAATATCCTGAGTAAGACAAACTAGAAAGACTGGCCACTGATTAGCATAAAACAACAAAGCTATAAATTAGCAAAGCCAGGCACACATTTGGAAAAGAACTAACTGCACTTAAGCAACACACCTAAAATCCATAGCACAACAGGGAGTCGTTGACCAACTGCACATGTGGATTGTGCAGCCAGAAAAGCAAGAGGAAAATGGCTATCTTGGATGACAAGAGATCTACAATTATGAACAGCATGTAGAAAGCTGCACATTTTCCCCAGTGGAGGTGCACCCAAAGAGAAGAACTCTCAGAACAGGGAGTTTAAAAAGAGGGTGGGGGTGCAGAATCCACATGATCAAGGAAAACAAATCTAAAGCCAGCAGGCTCCATTCCAGAGTCAGTGCATGTGTGAGTTATTTATCTTTCCAAAACAGAAATATGTGCCCTGAAGTTACTTTTAACATATGGAAGTATCCCATTTCGACCCCCTAAGCTTCTCCCCCCCACCACAGTGAAGCAGAACATTAGCTCGCAGCTTAGTGCCAAAACCAGCTCATCAGACTACAACTTCCCTGTAAGACCAGCAGACAATATGCCCAGTTCAAACACTAAAGATGTTGTATTTACCTAGCGCACACCAAATAGGAGACATCCTGGTGCCATAAGACTTATCTTCTCTAGAATCCAATCTGTGAACCTACGTGTTTGCATTCATAAGAAGTTATGTTTTCTCCCCTTTTAATTGCTGCTTTGAGAATAAATGATAGCAGCATCCAGTGGGTAACAGTGTGGGCTCTGCAGCCAGACGGCCTGAGTAAGAACTCTAAACCTGAACTCTGCTAGGTGCTAGCTGTGCAACCTTGGACAAGTTTGTGCCTCAATTTTCTCATCCATAAAGTAGAGATATTATTAGTCCTGTCTCACAGGATTGCTCTAAAAAGTTATTAACTACTACAATACTTGAGTTTGGCACATCATAAGTCTGCAGTAAACATTAGCTGTTATTATTATTACCACCACTGCCTAATATTTTGCACTAATTCCAGATTTATGCTACACATTATTATTACTGTTATATATAGGAAGTATTAGTTTTAGTAAATTTATATAGATAGATAAAGATCTAGGGGAAAAGCACTATTCATGAGATACAGTAGCAAACAGCATTTCACTTATGAGTGCAATTTAAAAGATAATACATGAGGTGGTTTGAAATATTCAGTGGTTAACTCTGACATTGCAACTACTGAACTACTGTTCCAAAAATGCTAAGGACAAATTAAGGACAGGGCTTTATTAGGAGAATTCACACTCCACCGTTTTTTGGTTTTGTTTTTTTAACTTTCATCTATAAAACTCTCCATTTAGCATAATGCATTAAATCCTGAAATTTCCTGCTTTGGTTAGAAATCAGTGTGGAAGCATTCTCTGAGCCAAGCCCTCACCCAGAGCTGGTCAGAGCTATGAGGAGGGGCAGGAAGAGGTCTGTTCAGGGAGCTTCAGCTAATGTCTGAGGAACTACAACTCAGCACTGACCTAAAAGCCCAAGGATAATATTCAGGTCTCACCTCAACATAAATGTGTCCGTTCTCTGCCACAGAGAAGACACCCTGGGAGGGCACCATAAAGAGATCTGTGTTGTACAGCTCCATGTTGAAGGTGATGTTTTCGTTGGGCTGGTCCTGGAAGCTACTGGGACTTCCCATCTGCCGCAGACTGCAATTAAACTAGAAAAAACCCCAAACAGATGAAGATAAAGCACACTGATGTGAAAGACGAAGGCCCAATAGCTTTAACATTTAATTTCATTTTCTGATAGTCCCTAACTAACATCAACCAAGTAGACAAGATTCTCCACAAACTGCGTACTGAAAACAAACCCTTACCACCACAATTTCTGGTCGGCTGAATAAGGGAACATCTCCTTCATCCACATCTCCTGGAAATCCATTATCACCTGACTCCAAATCTTCATAACCATCAGGCCAACCACTACTATCCCCAGGGAATGATGGAAGCTGTATCACAATCTAAAAGGCAAAGAAAGCACAGCCATGTTATAAAAACACCAAACCACATGCATTTGGTTCTACCTCACACCCACACCTATGTCATAATCTAGATGTAAATCAAAAATCTGACTTTAGGGCCGGCCCGGTGGCGCACTGGAGAGTGCGCCGCTTGGGAGCGCGGCGGCACTCCCGGTAAATCAAAAATCTGACTTTAGGGCCGGCCCGGTGGCACACTGGAGAGTGCGCCGCTTGGGAGCGCGGCGGCACTCCCGCCAAGGGTTCGGATCCCATGTGGAGATCGGTTCCCGCTCACTGGCTGAGTGCGGTGCGGGCGCAACACCGAGGGTTGTGATCCCGTTGCCGGTCCCCGGTACGGGCGCGACACCGAGGGTTGCGATCCCGTTACCGGTCAGTAAAAAAGACAAAAAAAGGAAAAAAAAAAATCTGACTTTAAAATAAAAAACTCTAAGCTTTTTAGGATTTCATCTTCAAAGCAATAAAGAATAAGAAGCCCAATATAAGGTTCAAGTTAAGGTGTGAATGGAAATTTGTATTTTCCCTTGTGAAAAACACAGATTTATTTTGAAACCATACTAATTACAAATTATTTCAAATAGTGTGAAAACACTAAATACTGAAATGTAGTTGAACAGGGTTGTCAATACACCTGCCTATACTTTGAGAGGGGGCTTCTCCTTAAGGGTCTTTATGTTAAAAAGTCTAAGAAATGCTAAGACTTGGCTACTGTTACTTGTATCCTTTAAGATCTGTAGAAAGTTCAATTTAAGTTAGAAGACAAGGACCTAATGTTCACTTTGCAGCCAATCTTCTCCTCATCTTTTCTTTTGTGCTCATGTATCTTTGCTCATTTCTTCCCCAATATCTTTCTGTATGGTGTATAGATGCAGCAGAAAAGAACGTTGTGTTTTATTCCAGGATAATAATCTTAACATCGGTCGAAATTATTATTCCTGGGTTAGTTCTAAATAAGACGAAAAAATTCACCCAAAGACCATAACTCCATAAATAAAATTCTAACTTCACATGTTTGGATTCTAAAGGTGATGCAAAATAAAAATATATAGGAAGTCTGAAAATTACTGCAAACAAATAAAACTGGAACAAACAGCTAAAATATTCACTGAAAGAAATAGAATATGAAAACAATAAAGGAAAACCACCTCTCCCTTCTTTACCAGGTCCTCAAAAGAAAGTATTGATGCAACTAATGCAAGTACCTAAGATATTGCTTACCCTGGACATCATAATAAAGAAAATAAAATTATATGAGAGAGAAGGGACTTTAAGGGGTCATGATATGCTTTCTCTCCTGAAGCAACTGACAATTTTTTTACTTAACAGATTCCATAGCCTTGTTGGTGTTAACTTGGACACCAGTTTTAAAATACTAAAATCAAGTATATCAGCAATATATGACATTCATTATATCTGGAGAACCTGGATAACTGCAAGAAGATTAATGTTGTAATTAGCAGGAAGTCAAAGATTAATAAATTAATTATTTGAGTAACAAAGGGAGATAAGCTGGGCCAGCCTGGTGTTGAGGAAACATTAGTGGACAAGAGGTCAGGAAGCTGGAACTCAGTCCTGGCTCTGCCATTAACCAGTCTCTCAAATTCCATTCTCTAAGAAAGTGTTTGAACCCCCTGGAGTTCAATTTCCTCACCTGTGAAATAAGGAATTTGAATGAGATCATCTTAGGGTTCCCTCCAGCTCCAACATTCTAAGATTCTCTGAGGAACAAATTATTTGAGTAACAAAGGGAGATAAGCTGGGCCAGCCTGGTGTTGAGGAAACTTTAGTGGACAAGAGGTCAGGAAGCTGGAACTCAGTCCTGGCTCTGCCATTAACTAGTCTCTCAAATTCCATTCTCTAAGTAAGTGTTTGAACCCCCTGGAGTTCAATTTCCTCACCTGTGAAATAAGGAAGTTGAATGAGATCATCTTAGGGTTCCCTCCAGCTCCAACATTCTAAGATTCTCTGAGGAACAATAAACTCGGGCTCACAGAAGAGCCACTCCCCACATGAACCACACTGACCAGAGGACCCGATCACCAACCTCTTCTCTGGATTGGGTCAAGTGTATCTTTGACCGGCAGTGCAAAGAACTAGCAGCCACAGCCCGCCCCTTCCCGTGTCAAAGCTGGAGTAACACATGGACACACGTACCTTGTCGAAGTGGACACAGGGATCTCTGAGCCTTATTTTTACCATCAAAAGTACAACCCAAACTGCAAAGTTAGCGCCTTAAAGTTCTTTTGATATTTCATGCTTTGAGTTCTTTTAATACTCACTGCCTAGTCTCCATCTCTAAAAGAATAGGTTTAATCTGAAGAGAATAGATTTAGATGAACTGAGAAGAACGATTTCTGGAAAGTGAAGGGTAGCTATTGCAATGGATTATCACTGGGGGAAATCTGTGGCATTTTCTTCCAGGTAACCTCCAGAGTAGGAGATTTCTTTAATTTCTTCAACTTCGTAGAGGTGTAGAGAGAGACTTGATGATAATTTCTTAAAGGCCATTTCCAGATTTTAAATACTCTTTTTGGATCTTTATTCATGAGGAAGGAGAAGCTGTCCCACTTTGGGGAGGCCAGAGAGACCACGCATCTGGTTAGCTCAGTTGTGCAGAGGTGCTCACTCACAGCCCGAGGCCTTGGATTTTATCCCCAGAAGGACCAGGCCAGCTTGGCCATAGAAAGATATCATAATCACCTTGCCAGTGAACCTTTGCCATCGGGAGATGGAAGAAGGGCATTGGTGAGATCACAACTCCAGCTGAGAAAACAAGGTCTTCCAACTCCCAGAGACTCACCAATAAAGCTAATAAAACAAAAGCATTCGGGGTCAAAATAATCCCGTTTTGCTAACTGATACTTGGCTTTGTTCAGGCCTAGGGTATATGCCTCGCCTCATTTTCATAGAAACATCAAGACTAATTTTAAGAGAATATGTAGCAAGGCTCTGGCAAAGGGCAAAGCTTTGTTCTGGAGAATACTCACAGAGTTATAGTAAACCACACCATCGGGGGCTGACCGCCGGTGCCGAGTACCACAGCCATTCAGGGGAGACTCTAAAACCCAGTGGGTGCCATTCATCTTGGCCTTGCAGGTAGGATCCAGCAGGGTAAGCTCCATCCCTGAGTAGCTGTTGCCCTGAAACAACAGCCACCAAAGACATAATGGGGGCCCACAGGCAGTTCTGCTGCACACAGTTAACATGCATTGCCCAGTCTTCCAAGTAAAGGTCGCTAGAGTCCCGCACCATGCCCGTCCCCCACTTACTTCTTCCCAGCTGACCACCTCTCAACAGCCCAAGGGTTATGTCTGTCGGCTTTGGAAACTCAACAGCAAAATATTGACACACAAGGTTCTGGAACCCTTACCCTCCACCCCCACTCAAAACAACAGGAACTGAGCGAGAATCGCAGCCAAGGGGAAGTGGGCCCATCCAACTGAGAAAACAGCACCAAGTCTCTGGAGTTCAAAAGTGAAAGAGCTAGAAGGAAATAACACACACAGACTGGGGCAAGATGAGGAAGGAGGTGGCCTTCTCTCCTGTCCTTTAGGAGACTGCACTGACCTGAAAAGAATCTTTTTCTACAGCCACGACCATCTTTTCATTGTCACATTGGACTGACAGGGCAACGTCCATGTTCCCTTGCACCTCTTCTGGCTCTCTGGGACCAGGAAACAGTTGTATGCTGGGGACGACAGGGTCCTTTGGCCGAGGGATCCCATCTTCTCCCCCTTCCTTCAGGCCTCTCCTGGAGATATCGGGGAAAGGGAAGGGGAGACCTCCAATTCGGCCTCCCCCTCCCCGGATGGCCGGGTTCTCCAGGGCAGGGTTCAGCAGGATCTGCAGCTCAGGGGGGATGGTATGAACTTCTTCATCTCTCATTTCCTCTGGCGGTGACAGAAGAAGGCAAAACATCAATAGCATTTGATGCCAGGCCACAGTCACCATCATTAGAGGCAGAACAGGTAGAATTAGCATGGAATGGGCAGGTGTAAAATTACTTTTCACGAGCAATGTAAAAAAGTGATTAGGAGTCTGGAAGCCTGAATGCCAGTCCTGGTGTTTCCTCTAACTAGCTGAGTGGCTTTGGGCAAGTGGCTTACTTCTCTCTGCCTCAGTTTCCCAGATTTTTAAATTAAGGAGTTGGATTAGATCAGTGGTTCTCAACTGTGGCTGCACATTAAAATCACTCTGGGAGCTTTAAAAAAAAAAATCCTGATTGCCCAGGTTGCACCTCAAGCCAATTAAAACTCAGACTCTCTAGGGTAGGACCCAATCATTATTATGTTTTAAGTTTCCCATGTGATTACAAATGTGTAGCCAAGATTGAAAACCGATGAGATAGATGATTTCTATGTCTCTACAAGATATAAAATCCTGTGATTTGAGTAAGTTATGTGAAGCAATATTATTCCATTCAAATGCCATTAAAATACAAACTGTCCCTGACTTAACGACAGTTCAACTTAAATTTTTTCAACTTTACGATGGTGCAAAAGTGATACACATTCAACAGAAACCATACTTCCAGCATACAACCATTCTGTTCTTCACTTTCAGCCCAGTATTCAATAAATCACATGAGATATTCAACACTTCATTATAAAATAGAATTTGTGTTAGATGATTTCGCCCAACTGGGGGCTACTATAAGTGTTCTTAGCACATTTAAGGTGGGCTAGGCTAAGCGAGGCTATTCAACAGGTTAGGTGTGTTAAATGCATTTTTGACTTAACGATATTTTGAACTTATAATGGGTTTATCTGGAACATAACCCCATCATAAGTTGAGGAGCATCTGGACTTTTCTTGAATCTAGAGATTGTTTCAAACAGTTTCTCTAAAGATTTCTTCAAACAGTAGTGGTATTTTAAAATTATTCTGCTACCTCCTTTTTGACTGCTAAGCAAGTACCTGGGCACCCCAGCCTTTTAGAACCTAGTCCCTATGGGGAAAAGAAAGAGCTACTTAGGCACACATTCCCTCAAAGAGGAGACATATTTCCGTACAAACAATACTCAGTATTTTGTATATTTCCAACAATTTAAAGAAAAAAATAAAAATTTCCCCAGTGTTCTCTGCATCCATTTTCTAAAGCCAACTGATGTATGCTTGAGATCAAATTCATCTCAGTGGAAGCTGGAAGTGAACATGAACACTCCTTTAATACTATCTGTTTGTAAAGGATGCCACAGCTGAATGGGTCCAAAAGAAGTCACAGCTTTGGAGGGCTTTTAATGTGTACTTTAACAAAAACCTTCACAAGAACCCTATAACGTAGGTCCTATTTTCCCCCCTATTACTGAAAGAGGAATCTGAGGCTCAGAGGTTAACCGACTTCTCTCCAAACAGTGAATGGCAGAGCCGAGACTTGAACCTGTACTCCTAACCATCCTTTATTGTCATCCCACTCAGTAGTGATACCATGGGGTGAGGAACAGGTCTGGAGATCAGAAAACTTGGGGCTCAAGTCATGCTAGCTATAAGACTCTGGAAATCCTCGAGAACTTCTTAAGTCTCTACTTCGCTCCATCAAACTAGGGTAGTAACTCCGGCCTTCCCTCTGGGTAAGGAAGCCCAAGTATAAGTCCCTATGACTATTTTCCTATCAGATACAGCCTCTGACCATGGACTTCTTTCCTGCAGCCCTAACCCCTCTGTATCCTCAGCTGTAAGTAGTAATTAGGTGCCTCTGAGAGAAGAACCCAGGCTAATTTACTCTTAATGTAATCACAGTGAAGATGATTTACAGTAAAGTTCTCCAATATGCAATCCACTCTATGTAACTGAAAATCTGTATTAAAGACAGTTTCCTCAAAACAATCTATCACAATTCTAGGTAATTTTAAGCCTTACAGTAAAAAGTAGTCAAGTGAGTTATTAAAATGTACAACAGAAAAACAGCCCCACATAAATTGAAATAAGAATTCCCCACTGGGAAGCTTCATTTGGGAAATAGTTTTTATACAATTAAAAACAAGAGTCATACTTACCATTGTTTTCAAGCCGAATATGAAATCTATTAGCCACAGGAGCCACTGTGTATGATGTGACTGGAGTATAGCCATGGTCCAAAGCCCACTTCACCAGATTCTCTTGGGTTGAAGGAATGTCATCTCTTATTGATTTGGTCATTGCCATGGATCTTTCACTCTCTTTCCCAAAGCCAATACTGTTAGGAGCCTGAAGATAATAGCATGGTTTCATGCATCAGTCAAAATAAACAGGGCTCTAAATAATATTAATTAAATATCTGAAACAAATAGATTCTATATTGTGGGTGAGGGCATTTATTCTTTTCATCTCTCTTTTCCTCATGCCAAGAACACTGATGTGAAAACCTTTAACAGCAGATTAAGAGACATATATTCATTGTGTTTGATCATAACATTTGGATTATTCGTGTTGATAAAAATAATCCAATGACAGCTAAGTAGGCACATACTAAGTACATCTAGCCTGTTACTATACTCAGTTTAATATTTTAATTATTAACACATTTATACTAAATATATATACCAAACTTTCCCTTATTTTTATTTAAAATTATGCATAAAATATACAGATGTACATGATACATTGCCCAGAAATGCCTGTGCTTCTACTCCCTGCACCCCTAGATTTAAATGAAACATGGCACAATGTAGTCACTTTGGTGTAGAGACTATCCCATCTTTATAAACTATTAAATTCCATGGGGTAAAACAACTGTATATAAACAAGTGTTCATATTTCATCTATAATTTATGATCAATTTAGCAATCCTGTAATTATATTCATTTGCAACTCTATTAACTGAATATGCTTACATTTTATGTTCTAAAATATTAACTAATTAAGTCACTATCCCTCTAAGTATCAACATTTTACCCAGTAATCCAAGTAGGCCATAAAGTTAGCTTTTACTGGGTAATCAGTTGCAAAATTAAAATGACAGAAATATTTTCAGAGAAAGATATAAATGGACTCCAAGTAACCAGGACACGGAAGGTACACTTCTCCACCACCTGCTGAGTCCTGTGGCAGTGATCTTGTCACAGGCCGAGGGAACCGAATGCTGCAGAGAGCACCCCAAAGGGAAGGCACCACAGTTTCAACAACTGCTCCAGCAAGGCTGGAAAGCCCTTCTAGCACGCAGATTATGCCATCGAGGGAACCGAATGCTGCAGAGAGCACCCCAAAGGGAAGGCATCACAGTTTCAACAACTGCTCCAGCAAGGCTGGAAAGCCCTTCTAGCACGCAGATTATGCCANTAAAACAACTGTATATAAACAAGTGTTCATATTTCATCTATAATTTATGATCAATTTAGCAATCCTGTAATTATATTCATTTGCAACTCTATTAACTGAATATGCTTACATTTTATGTTCTAAAATATTAACTAATTAAGTCACTATCCCTCTAAGCATCAACATTTTACCCAGTAATACAAGTAGGCCATAAAGTTAGCTTTTACTGGGTAATCAGTTGCAAAATTAAAATGACAGAAATATTTTCAGAGAAAGATATAAATGGACTCCAAGTAACCAGGACACGGAAGGTACACTTCTCCACCACCTGCTGAGTCCTGTGGCAGTGATCTTGTCACAGGCTGAGGGAACCGAATGCTGCAGAGAGCACCCCAAAGGGAAGGCACCACAGTTTCAACAACTGCTCCAGCAAGGCTGGAAAGCCCTTCTAGCACGCAGATTATGCCATTTTCATGCTGTATAAAGATCACTTTAATTTCTACACCCAATGATTTTCTCCTACATACATGCAGCATTTTTCCTAAATTCCTCATTTGTTTCCCATTCTGTTTGCCCCTAACATGACTAAATATTAATCCGTTCCCACTGTAAAACCATCAAAGATTCACAGGCTCTAAGTTCTCTGGTCTTTTTGGTTGTGGGATACTAGCTGAGGACACATTATATTTCAATTCAAAGCTTAAAGGATCTCACCCGGTATCTTTTTCTATTACCCAAAGTGCTTATCTGAGGGAAAACTGCCAGACTGACCAACCACCACCTCTGCATGCAATGAACCAGACAGAACCTTAACCACATTCTGCAGACATCTGTAGACTCAGTTTCATAGATTTGGAATATTTTAGCTCCTACTCTGATTCAGAGAAAACTCCTCGGGGGAAAGGAAGGGTTAGAGAGAGAGAAAGAAAGAAAACTAAAATGAGGTAAAGAAGGATCCAACTCGTTCTTGGAACTTTTTATTCCTTTAGTCAACAGCAGTTTCTTAGGCACAGTTCCTTCCAACTTTTCAAAGCAGCACATCGTTTTGATTGGCTGGAATCACAACATTGGCCTAAACAATGCTGGCGTGGCCTCATCCGCCCTAGTCTTTCATGTCATTGGACAGCTGAGAAAATACCGTATTTCCAGAATGCTATCATCATAACTGCCACCTGTCCTTTTGCCCCAATATGGAGTGATCTGTTTACACCTTTCCACATTAAATCTAGAAGCTGTCAATATGTCTCCTAGTGATTATGCCTTGGGACTTAAAAAGCTAGAGGGGCCAGCCCTGTGGCTCACTCGGTAAAATGCTGCGCTGGTAACGCAGAGGCCGCGGGTTCGGATCCTATATAGCGATGGCCAGTGCGCTCCCTGGCTGAGCCTGGTGCAGACCACACCATGCTGAGGGTTGCGTTCCCCTTACCAGTCAAATAAAAAAAGAAAGAAAGAAAGAAAGAAAGACTACTAGAACAAAACAGTTTTCGGGCCGGCCCAGTGGCACACTGCTACAGTGCGCCGCTTAGGAGCGTGGCGGCGCTCCCGCCGAGGGTTCGGATCCCACATACAGACCGGCCACTCACTGGCTGAGCGAGGTGCGGGCGCAGCACCGAGGGTTGCGATCCCGTTGCCGGTCCTGGTCCGGTACGGGCGCGACACTGAGGGTTGTGATCCGTTGCTGGTCACGAAAAAAGACAAAAAGGAAAAAAAAAAAAAAAAGCTAGACATCTATCTACACATTTATAAAGCAGCAAGCTGGGGACAATGGCAGGCAAGCTAGTTTTCATCCTTGGACAAACTCCTCACCGTGCATCTCTCTGAGTGCCCAGGCTTTTTCCAACCTTAGAGGAACTAGTCCAAATGGGGGTGTTCAGTGGAGTCTCCAAATACCACCACCATCTCTCCCAGTCACAGTTTTGTGACAGATGGTGAGCTAGGTAAAGAGTCTAAGTGCCTCTGCACCCCATCCCCCACTTGCATCAGAACTGATGGTGTGGGGGAAGGGGTTGGCCAGAAAGGGTGCAGTGCATGTTCCTACTGGGATTTTTAAAAAAAGGTCTTTCCTAAGAACAAGCTGGCCATCACCATCCTTAAAGTCCTGAGGCCACATGAAATAGTGTAAAAGGAACCTCTAACAAGTTTCTTCCATCTATTCTTTTATGTTTTAGAGGTACTTCCTGCCAAATAAAAAAGGTCTTTCCTAAGAACAAGCTGGCCATCACCATCCTTAAAGTCCTGAGGCCACATGAAATAGTGTAAGAGGAACCTCTAACAAGTTTCTTCCATCTATTCTTTTATGTTTTAGAGGTACTTCCTGCCAAAAAGTGATTATGCATGGTCCACAGGGGACCTGAGGAAAGAGCCAGAGCTGGACATGACAATGTGACCATGTCCAGCATTCCCATTCTTGTCCACAGCACAGCCCTTTGCATCTCTTTTGACCATTCTGTCATTTGGAGGACAAATGCCACACCCCAACACACACAGGCACAAGGCACTCATATTTAATGATGCTCTGCTTTAAATTTACCCCATCAATTTCCTCACTATTTCTTTAGTACACATTTTTCTTTGTTCTCACCTTGTTTAAAGAAGGGCCCTAATTGTTCCTATAGACGCGCTCTTAAAGAATTACTTATGGAAAGCAGATGAACCCCCTTTTTATGCCAGGTGCTATACTAGGTGCTTTACTTATATTACTTATTTAATTCTCCTCCAAAATATAAGACAGGCATTACTATTCCTTTGTTAGAGAAGGAGAACCTGAGACTCACAGAACTTAAGTAACCCATGTGACTACAACTTACCATGTGCAGGTGCTATGCCCAGTGCTTTAGATGAAATACCCTGTAGGCCCTTAGCAAATACTTGTTGAATGAATGAATGAATGAACTCACAATAACTCTCAAGGTGAGTGCTATCATCACACCCATTTCACATGTGAGCAAAGAGACTCAGTGTTCAATTAGATTGCCCAATATCTGCTGGGAATAATGACAGTAGGAGATGGGACTTGAATCTAGCCCTGTCTGGCACAAAGCCAGGATTCTTTCCACTCCACCATGCTATTTCTGAAGGAAATACTAGAAACAAGGTCTCTATAAACCATTTCCCCCTTTCTAAGCCCTAGTTTACACCTTTGTATTAGCAGGTACTTTTCCCTCACAGCACAGTCTGAATTCACATCTGAGATAGGGAGTTAGAAAATCACAAAGCATGAAACTGATTGAGAGAATAAAAAGAACATCATGAAACATTACCTAATTGTTTAGTAATGTTGTCATGCATTGTCCAAAACTGGCCTGAAACAGGAATACAGCCAAGGAGAGAAATATAAACAGATCTTGCATTGGGATGAGCAACCTTATTTCTACATTTTCTGATTCATATGAGCAATGCGGACATTCACAGCAAACTCCAGGACTGCCATGGACCAGGCACATACACTCAGGGAGAGCAGGAGCCATTGCAGGGTCAGGAAAGAATATTTACACAAGAACTCCAGCCGGGAATTAAAATGTACCGTATGTTTTTGCCTTTCAAAGCATGATTCCCTTTCCTGTTTTTGTTATTCTGAAATTAAAAACATTTGGTCGGTGTGCCAGGCTTGAGCAAAGGCAGCAGACACCCCAGGTTACCAGCAAGCCTCATGCCATGCCAGGGAAGGCAATCAAAACATCTCCAACTTTAGAAAATCAAGGCTGGGCTTTCTGCTTAACACCAAATTAACATATCACCGTTACACACGATGACTTATTGGGATCCTCCCCCAAAATAAATAAATAAAACCCACAGGAACCAGAAATGATTACTTTAAAATTAAGATGTGTATGCTCATGGCTTTGCCTGCTGCCTCCAGCGAGTACTTTCACATAGCCTGGCCTTGGGAGCTGTTGGCTCTACTCACTGCCGTGTCACATGAGAGGTGCTACAAGCTCATGATAATACCAAAACCAAAGGCATCCCACTCCCAAAATATTGAAAACATAAAACCCACCCAACTGATCCAATGCAGGTACTGAAAGAGAAACCAGCCAGATTTTTTTTAAAGACAATGCACACAAATGTGAGCCTACAGAGATGCTAAACAGGTAATTATCTCCAAAAACAATGGGGAGAGGAATTTTTCTTTAACTTCCAATATAATTCACTCCAGTATTCTGCCAAATAGTTATTCCCTATTATATCCCTAAATATATCCCTAAATATAATTTGATAAGATTTATTTTATCAAATTTCAACATTTGACTTTTCAGTCAACTAGTTGTGGTTTGCCTATCATGCCAATCAGTTACACTTCTTATGCGTATTTCCTTCATGGAATAAAATGGTTAAGGAACAGACTCATTAACTTCGCAGTTACTATGATTCTTTTATCATTGTTTCACTCTTTAAAGGTAGAAATGAGAAAAAAGACATGCCAATACCAAGTATTTATTTCAAGAAGAAGAGTCTACCATGTGAGTTGGGGTCAGCCTAATTTCCCATACCTTCCCTACATACCTAACCCCAAAGTAAGAGCCGATATTGAGGACCACGATGACACTGAGGCCCTGACAGGACTCTTAACCATGAAAGGCTTAACTGCATTCATTATTTTACATTTACTATGACTGGAAAGCACACTAATACATTCCAGGAATTTCACAAATGAGGCAAGTGGGGTTCAGAGAGGTTAAGGGACTTGCCCAAGGTCACAATTCATACATGGAAGAGCCAGGACTCCAACCCAATCTGTCTTGACCCCAGAAGCTATGATTTAACCACTACTCTGCCCTTCTCAGGAGTAGCCAAGGAGCAGACTATTTTGCAAAGTGAATAATAATTGAGACAGCTTAGAGTCCATAAAACATGTAAGCACAGCTTAAGTTATTGCTATTCATCAAAACAAAGAAACACTCAACCAACTTACAATAACTTTCAGGTGTCCTTTAACATCAAAAGATTTGATCACCCAGTTGACAGACTTTTTGCACTTCAAGATCAGGATGAGATTTTTGACCACCTCAGGATCCTCTTGAGAAGGTCTAATGTCAATTATTATATCCACCTGGAAAGCACTGTGAGTGGAAAACAAAGGCAGAGTTAGGACCTAAATGCCAGAAAGTTGCAACTATCTCCCCTCTTCCAAGTCTTCATGTTTCTAGTGTCTGGCCAGTTGATTAAAAAGCTGGAGTTGATTCCAGGCAAATGACATGTGCAAAACAGATTGTTATTGCACACATAACAAAATGGTTTTACATAACAATAAGAACATATGCCTTGCTGATAATTAGCCACTAAAGTTTTTCTCTTCTATGAAAAACAAAAAAAAGGTTGTTACTTAATGCAGCAGCCACTGTTTGAAGTGGACTTGAACAAACCAGAGGAGTTTACTTTTTTGAAGCAGAACCGTTGATTTTTTCCAACTTTCACCATCTTTGATATTTAACTTTCCACTTTTCTATATGCTCAAATTCCTTCAAAACCAGAAGTGGGTGGCAGTTTGATGAGTGGGGGGTGGCAGGGAGGAGGGAGACATGGTGGTAAAAAAATTAGGAAACTTCAGAATAAAATAAGAAGCAAAAGTCTTGATTTATATAAGGTTTGTTTAATCCATTAGCAATTGCTACAGAATCATATCTGCACTTAAATTCTCAAACTTCTGGATATACAGTTATTCAAATAAGGAAAACAGATGGTCAACCAAGTTATCACTGGAAAATTGATGAACATAACCCAAATTTCTAAGAATTCAGTAGAAAAGAATTTTTTACTAAACAATAACATCTCTGTCATATTGAATTTAAGAGAAAAGTCTTTATTTCCATCTTGGTTTTACACACTTGTAAAGCATAAAATGAATGGTATACTCAAATGAAGCCTGAGGCTTAGTGTCCAAGCACATTTGCCAGATTGCTTCTGTCCCTGTTCCCTTTTAATATTCCACAAAATTCTTCATGTGGGACAGAATGGAATCTTACCAAAATTGATCTGTAGATTATTCAGTTTGAAATCAAAACTTGATTAGAATTTTAACTTTGAAATCCCTCTCCAACATGAATTTAAATTAAATCACTAGTCCACATAAAATGCAGGCTAAAGTGGGAGAAGGACCTACTTTCCTTCTTTTTCTTTTTTTTTAAAATTCCCTAATTATTATTGATAGAGAGGATCAAATTTCCAGTCCAGGGGTAGGAAGCTGAGAGGGAGAACAAGCACACAAAGGGAGAGGCAAGTTGTATCTAACAGCTCTTTGATATATCACCATGAGGGGCCACCCTCCCAACACACACACGCACACACGCACGCACACACACACACACACACACACACACAGAGCTTTAAATCAGTTCTGAGTGCATAAGTGCTCTGAAGACACTATGAACAGAACTTTATTAAAAACAAAATGTTACTAAAATGATAATTATGTTAATAAGGCATACTTCGTAATTTTCTTATTGGTGATAACCTCAGTCCAAGGAGATAATGATGGAGCAAGAATGACTGTGTCCTATAATTACTACCCAGAATTTCAGAACAGGCTTTGGGAACTCATCTGGAAGATACGAGATCTAGAGACAGATGCAGGGTATAAAATATACCACTGGTGCCTTACTCCCTTCTTCAAAGCATCTGTGAACCACACCTGACATCAACAGCAACCTTCCCTTCTGCATAGGAAGGGCTGCACCTCTCCCCGCCTCAAGTCAAGGAGGATCTTTACTTTCATCTCCTCTCAGTTCAGAAGGCACACGCACACATGCATACTTGCTTACCTGTAGGGGTTAGAGTTGGGGGTGATTAGCTCAATGATGTGGACTTCCTTATCTTGGGGCTGGCTGGACATCACACACCCTTCTGCTGCTTTGGGCTGCAGGTACTCAGCAAGGTAGTTGAGCGAGAGAAAATTCTTCCCTATGTTGCACGTGGGAGGGAACACTTGATCTAAAAGTAGAGAAGCACAGGGCAACCTGTCAACCCACTGAGCTACATGTAACCAGACCCAAAGGAAAGAGGGTGTTGGTGAAGCTGGGTATTTGCAGGACACACAGAAACACAAGCCCATGGGAAGGGGCTTAGTCTGTGAACTCCTCAATGACTGCACTGAAAAGCCCATTATGGTCACCAGTGACCTCCTACTGACCAGCTCTAGTGGGCTCTTTTTGTCTAAATTCTTTCCTTTCTTTCTTGCTTTGATATTTCTTGTCCTCAACCATTTCCTCCGACCTATCTTTCACACTCTTTCACCGGCTCCTCCTTCTCAGCTCATCCTGTAAAAACCAGTGGTCCTCAATCTTTGGTGCATGTCAGAATCCACCTGTTAGGACCCTACCCCAGAGAATCTAACTATGAACATTTAGGTGGGGCCCAGGCAGCTTTCTTTCTTGGAAAGCTCCATAACTGATCCACTTCTAAACCAAGGCTAAGAACCTCAGCCCCTTCTTCAATCCTCTTTTTGTCTCACATTCTTCCTAGATGATCTCAATCACTCCAGTTTCAACTTTTACCTAGATCATGACTCTCTTTCTGAGCTGGACTTGTACTGTTATCTGTCTACCAAGCATCTCCCACCTAAAAATCCAATACATATTTCATGGTCAGGATATTCAACACTGAATCTATTACCTATCCCATCCCCAAATATGCTCCTTCTTGGATGTTTGCTATTTCAATTATTAGGAGAAACCAGTCACCTAATTAATTCTTGCCCACCAAGTAGAATTAATCATTCCTTCATATTTACTCCTCACAGTGCTTTGTGCTCTGAAGATGAAAGGCAGAAGTTTGGGGGAAAACAGGGAGGGCACACTTTTGCTCTTTCTCACAGTCTTGCCACAGACAACTGATGGCACCTTACAGTTGACAAGGTGCTTTCACAAACAGCATCTCACTGTGCTGAGGGAAGCTCACCACTCCTGTCCAGGAAAGCAGTGCAAGTGAAGACACCCCCCAACGGCACATGCCGTGTACACAGCACTGCGGTTGATGGGATTTCCATCCAGCAGTTTAAATGTTTAAACAGAACTTGAAACTGCTGGCAGCATGACAGCTGGGACCAGTGTCAAGGAAGTTCTAGGTGTAGCAAGCTTTTTTCAGAAGGGGCAATTAATCAGAGACCTGGCACTTTAATGAAATAGACTTCTGCATTTTTCATTTTAAGGACAGGATGCCAGGGTTCAAATCCATATGAAAGTCTCACTCAGGATTAAGGAATCTGCCCAGGAGGTCCCAAGATTAGGTTGATACTGCCCCCCTCCCCAAATTGCACAACCTCCCTTGTGCTGACGTCTATAGCACACACAGCAGCATCAGAGCTCTGGCTACCATGGCATCCCTGGCACCACCCCTAGAGCAGATGTGACCAGAGCAGTTCACAAAGTTCCTGCTTGGAGACTCAGTGCAAGAGAGCCTTGGCTCTGCAGTCTACATTCTTCTCTAAAAACCCCCTCAGAGGTAAAAGCCCAAGGCTCCCTCCATGTCTACTGAGGGTTTTACCAAATGACCAGATGAGGTATGTACACCCTGCAGCTGCAGCCCTGCGGATGCCTCCCCCAGATCACAGGACAGAAAATGATATTGGGATGGCAGGGCTGAAATTTAATAAGAATTGAATCAGAAGGTGTGTGTACCGGCCAGGGACAGGCCAGTCAAGAGACTAGGACCCTCCTGAGACTGTGGCCTGCATATCCAATTCACAGATGTGCCTAGTTTGTATTTGGCAGGTAGTAGGCATATGGTACAGGTTTCCTGAATTAACAAATGGTGATGTGAGAGTTGAGACAAATAACAAAAAAATCTACCCAAGTTGTTAAGCCACTAGGAAAAGTTTAATTGTTCAAAAGTTGCTGTTATTAAGGGCTCCAGTCCCGGATGCCATTGTCGCTAAGTTAAATAAGCTGATCATTTCTTGTTGTGTGGGTTTTTTCCCCCCAAATGACTTTCTGCATGCCTGGCATCAAAACTTACACCAAGTGCCAAGTAGAATGGAAACCACAAAGGGGAATCCCCGGGTAGAAACCTGGCAAGTTTGGGGGTGGGAGGGAGTCACGTGCTTATTTGCATTTTAGGAAAAGGCTAACAAATGACTTTGAGACCCAGAATGAAATACTCGGAGAGCAGGAATGAACCTGGGAGGTAATACAAATGCCTCATTTTCCTGCTGTGGAAACTGAGGCTCTGGTGGTAAATCAGTGTTGCTTGAAACCTCACAGTTACCAAGACCAGAAGGAATAAGAATCGAAACTCCTCGATTCTTCCACTCTAGCTACACAGGTTAGAGCAGCTCTCAAATGTTAGCGAGCATCCAAATCACCTGGGGCTCATTAAAATGCTGACTGCTGGATCCCACCTCCAGAGTTTCTGATTCAGTTGGTCTGGTTTAAGCCTGAGAACTGGCATTTCTAACAAGTTCCCAGGAAACGCTGATGCTGCTGGGGTGGGAACCACCCTGTGCAAACCAAAGAGAATCACAGCCTGGGATCCCTAGGTTCAAGGAGGGTAGGGACATGTTGGGTTCTGGGAAACCAGCTGATGAGGCTTGCTCAGTAGAGCCTGACCCATGGTGATAAACCAAGGAACCTCACTTTCCCCAACTGCTCCTCTCCACGGTGTGGGCCAACAACTTATACTCAACTGGTGGTTGGAGTCAAGTTTCAAGGGCTCCAAAGGTGTCACCAAGGAGTCAACCAGTTTTTACTGGACTGGACACCTGGTCCTTTAAGTTCACTTCCCTGCCTTGTATGTGGCTTAATGATAAAAAAAAAAAGTTTTTTAAAAAATAATAGGCTTTCAAAATTGAGTCACCAGATATTTATATCCCTCTACAAGGCAAGTAAATTAAAATAGGCAATCTCTTATGAAGGCCATACAGTTCCTTTCCCCAATAATTTGTCCTTATAACAGGCATTAGTGTTAGAAATATGTTAACTGATGTTTCAACACCATAAACTGACACTGGTTTCAAACGTTTGCAGCATAATATTTAAGAGGACGCCCTGCCTGCTGACCCGCCCTGCCAACCCCTCCTTCATTCCATCAGCGTTCACCTCCTTCCCTGCACCCCCAGCTTCTCACCCTCCGCTTGCTTCTTCCGACTTCTGTGCGCAGATGTCTCCTAAATCCTGCACGACGACCTCCCCCCCAACCACGCAACTCCCAATTTCTCACTTGGCCATTACCAGGCCTGTTTCCTCAGGAGGAAAAAAGGAAGGAGGGCATGAGGGCGAGAGGAGGCCCAAATGACCCCCCAGGTCCCTGCCAGCTCCAACGTTCTGTAATTCTGCAGTTCCTCACCCTAACCATCTGGTCTCAGAAATGAAAACAATTGACTGTCGTAAATCAGTCATTAACTGAAGCCACATAAAATTTACCTTCCCCCACTTTAATATAAATGTTTCTTGCTATCTTGAGTTCAGTGAATGAAGTAACTGCTCCGTACTCCTTTCGGGCCCAATTTAACAGATGTTCATTTCCATGGGGGAAATTCCTTTCTTCTGTTTCTGCCGTCAAGGAGAAGTCTCCCGATGAAAACTGGACCACAGAACCCTCTGACACCTAGAGGAAATAGAATTTTGCATATTTAACATTTAGATATTTGTCAGTCAAACCTCTTCCCTTCATTATACAGGCAGATCAGCTTTTTTCAGCAGCTGATTCAAGAAATAATCCCAAACCTAGTTCTCCCAGATAATGGTAAAACTACTAATGTAGAATGTAAGTTTGAACTTTTTTTTTAAATTTTATTTTATTTTGTCAATATACAAGTGGTTGATTATTGTGGCCCATTCCCGAAACCTCCCTCCCTTCTTCCTCTCCCCCTTCCTCCCAACAACCTCCTTTCTGTTCACTTGTTGTATCAACTTCAAGGAGTTGTAATTGTTGTCTTCTTCCCTCCCCCCCCCCCCTTTGTGTATGTATTTATTTATTTTTAGCTCCCACAAATAAGTGAGAACATGTGATATTTCTCTT